ATTTTGTATTTTTACCACATTTTAATTACAACCTCATCTACTGATGGCATATAGGTTGATTGTGTGCAATGAATAGTGTGGATAGTGTTACAAAAACATGGGAGTATAAGCCAGGCATTGGTGTTACATGCCTTTAATCCCAGCACTTGGGAGGCAAAGGCAGGTGGATCTCTGTGAGTTCAAGGCCAGCCTGGTCTACAGAGGGAGTACCAGGGGAGGCTCCAAAGCAATACAGAGAAACCCTTTCTTGAAAAAGCAAAACAAACAAACAAACAAACATGAGAGTGTCCGTATCACTGTTAGTGTGCTTTCTTAGAGTCTACTTGGTATATACCAAAAGGTGTTATGGCTGACTCATATGATAGTTTTGCATCAAATTTGTTGAGAACTTTCACATTGATTTCCACTTGAGTTGGACTCTTGTACAGTGATGCACTATGTATTTAGCCATAATCTTATCAATTGTGAATTGGTGATTAAGAGTTGTATGCAATAAGATGATAAATTTGCCTATATAAGTGCATTTGATATAATAAATGCACATTGGGTTTTACCAATAAGTATTTTATGACAAAAAGTTCTTTTCTGTATGGTTCCCTGAGCAACTCATTATAGAACCTTAAATACAACTGTTAAAGAAAACATTTTAAATGGTTTAAAATACATATCAGAACAGTTGACATCCCGGGGTGTATGCTACCATTTCTCAATTAGAAATCCACCTACCTTTCTGTGTTTTACTTTATAATACTAAGGCTGAAATCCACTAACATGTGCATCAGCCTGGTCTACAGAGCAAGTGCCAGGACAGGCTCCAAAGCTATACAGAGAACCCTGTCTCAGAAAAAGGAAAACAAACAAACAAACAAACCGTGAGAGTGTTTGTGTCGCTGTTAATGTGCTTGTTTAGAATCTGGTTGGGTCTTATTCTGGTTTCCCAACTGTCAGACTGGGTTCTATGTGTTCCCATTTGCTGAGGTCAGATGTTTCTGTGGGTTTCCTGAGAATTGTCTTGACCCCTTTGCTCATCACTCCTTCTCTGCAACTAGATTCCAGGAGTTCAGCTCAGTGCTTAGCTGTGGATCTCTGTTTCTGCTTCCATCAGCTACTGCTGAAGGCTCTAGGATGGCATTTAAGGTAGTCATTAATATCATTGTAGAGGAAGGGCATTTAAGGTAGCCTCTCCACTATTGATTAGATTCTTACTTGGGGTTATCCCTGTGGATCCCTGAACATTTTCCTAGTGAGAGATTTCTCTCTAAACCTAAAATGGCTCCCTCTATTAATGTATCTCTTTACTTGCTCTCTTTATATATTCTTCCCTTGACTCAATCTTCCTGATCCCTCATGTTCTCCTCCCCGCTCCCCTCCCTCTTACCTGCCCCCACACCATACTCCCAATGTGCTCAGGAGATCTTGTACCTTTCCTCTTCTCTGGGTGTCCATGCTATATCAAATTCTGATAGATGTTATTTTGATTAGAATAAATGTGCCAGGTGATCTTTTCTGACAAGTGAGTAGATTCAGGTAAGGTTGGGAATCTCAGAGTTGCAAGTCTTCCTGAGATGTCTTTGTTTAAGTAGTCTTTCTGAGGGTAATGATAGTGTCCTATTCATTCATCAGAACCTTTCATTAATTTTTCTGGGCAAAGAACCCCAAATAAAACAGATAAGAAGCTGACTGAGAAGAAAGTCTAACAGAGAAGCAACTATGAATGTCAAATATGGGTGATGGTTACAAATAATGACAGAAATGGAGAGTGAAGTAGTCATGTGTATTTTATTCCTTGCTATTCATTCCATATATATATGGAATGTGTGCATGTGTGTTTCATACGTTTTGATAGCTCTTCTTTCTTCTTAATTATTTTAATATATGTGCTGTTTCTGTAACAAATAGCCTCACAATGGACTCATTTCAAAACAGTATCGAGGTGAGACTATCATTCTATTAGAAGAGTAAATATTACTAGTTAGAATCATATACTGTGGATGTTGTGTAAGGATACAAAAAAAAATGACTGAGGATGGAGGAGATGGTTCAGCCGCTAAAGCACTTGTTGTGTAAGCATAAGGTACTGGGTTGAAATCCACACAACTTGATAAAATTGGGTAATAAAATGCACACCTGCCATGCTAATGCTTCCAAAGAATAGATAGGAAATTTCCCAGAACCTCTTGGGCCAGATACCCAGACATATGCAACAGCAGTTACCAAAGAGATCGTGTCTCCAACAATGGGGAAGGTGAAAACAAGCATTGGCCATCATTTTCTGGTCTCTGAACATAGACACTGGCATGTGTGCACCTGTATTCAGACACACACACAGACACATGCATGACTTTCAGTATTTTATAAGTTCTCTTTTGAAAACTATTATGGGTTTGTATGAAGGATAATTGCAGAATAAATATTCACAAAAGCATGTATATAGTATTAATATGCTAAAGAATCATTTGACAAGTATTTGTTTGCTGTGTCTAACCTTTCATTCTCCATTTTCTGATGCTTGAGCTAAAACTGTAATTTTCTTCTTTGTCCATCACTGGAATTTGCTATAGATTTTGTCAATGAAGATTACTAGAGAGACAGAGAAAAGCAAGAGTGTAAGAAAAGATTATTTTCTCTTTTGTTGACTTTGCCTTCAGAGTTTCTTTTATTTTGAGATGCAGTTGGCTTCCATCTCTAGTTCATTATATTCTCAGAATCACCAGACTTTATGCCTTCCAAGTGTGTTATTTTCAAACAACCTATACACCCTCAACATGTGGTCCCCAATGAGTAGGAGCTCTCATTCAATCTCCTGAGGGCCGCACCTCAGCTCTGGGAACCCAGTGATCTGAGCCCAAGCAGGCATCAAATTGTCTTAGAAGTCATGGTTCCCAGCCCCAATGGATTTCTTCACAGAGGTCTTAGCTTTATTTTTTTACAACCTCGATGGTGTCCTCTACTTGGATGGCAGAGTCCTGATCTATGAGTTCTCTTTCCTAGACGTCTAGATTCTAGAAACCTCTCCATTCCTTCATGTTATCTGCTTCCTAGATTTAATATCTCTGTGTGGCTTAGCAGACTTTTACACGTTAAATCCTCTCTACTGAAGTGCCTAGCTTGATTTCTATTTTACTGTCATAATGTGGTTTCTAATAGCTGTGAGAACAAAAGTCCACATCCACACACTTAATTCCATGTCTTCTTAATTTGGGGCTAATAGAGGGAATCATGTAAATAGTACCTAAAGTGGTGTTTCCCAAATTGTTTTCTAGGGAATTCTTCTCTTGCTAAGATTTTGTTTTACAAAGTAAAGTTCACAGTCATAAGGAGTTAAGAAATGGTATCTTCCCACAGCAAACTATTAGCAGCTTGGCACACATGAGTGCAATAAAGACTGTGAGAAGAAGAGAAGAGAAACCTGTTTTAATATTGACTCAGCATCTCTTCTCCAAATTATTTGACTGGGGAAACTGTTTTCTTTTCATTTAGTCTCTATTACCATTCCAGGGCATACATTGAGAGATAGCATTCTCAGGAATCCTATGAAAGTTTGAAACGTTATAATTTGATGGAGTTACTTTTTTCAATATCCTTTTGTTAACAAGGTGTCTTTAGGCCTTACATGTTTTATTTGTGTTTCTACTTCACCGAGAGATTAATGCTCATTGTGTTAAGATTCAGAAAGAAGATGAGGAATGATATGGAGGATGTCAAATTCCAAAAGGACAATACTGGGAAATGAAATAGAGTGTGAGAGGGAGCACTGGAGAAAAGGGAAGAAGAATCATGTTTCATTAGATGGGGACTGGTGCGATTAAGGTTAGTAAATGAGCTATGATATGATACCAGTGCCTAGGTATGATTCCCAGCTGTAGCACATTAATGAGAATTGATTTTAAATATTTTTTCATGCTCTGGGTTCCTTGGTTTGGTGTGTGTGTGTGTGTTTTAAAATTAAACTGTAATTATAATGGCAAAATGCATGCTTCCTCTTCCTCCCTCTATTCCTCCTCCATGCATTTTTTATTACTCACTTCAGAATTCTTAGCATCTAGTTTTCTTAAAATTATTTTTATGTGTATATGGAACATACATACATAAATATGTAAATATAACCTGCTCAGTGGATATACTATTACTTGTTTGTATATGATTTCACAGGTGACCACTTGATATTAGATAATGAATTGGGATTCTTCCCTTGGTGCTTTGGTTTCTTCATCTTTACATAGAGAAAAATAGAATATTCTTGACAGAATTTAAATTAAATGAAAAATCAATATTGTCTAGCTTAGATGATGAGGGATCTGTCTGGCTTTTAATCACTTAATATACTCCCTAAAATAGAAACGGACCATGAGTAATTATATCATTACACCATTTTTGTTTATATAAAGAAATGATATATTTTTCTTCCAGTATGGAATGATCTTTAGAAGGATCTACTTCAGCTATTCTATAAGTGAAAATAGTCTACAAAATTTAAATATACTTGGTTACTAAATAAAATAATAAGTTGGATAGAGACCTCATCTCTTTTATCTTTAATAGCCAGATGTTTCAATTAAAATTGAAATTGTCTATCTGCAGTTGATGGTTTTTGTTTTCATGAAAAATGACAGATTATTATGATCAAGTTATTTTTGTTGGGTAGATGGGTTTTGAGATTCAGTCCGTCTGAAAAGACTGATTGGCATGCCTGTCTTACTTCTGGTTCCTCTTTCGTTATAGTAATTTTATTTAAGAGAAACATAGAGGGATCATCAAGAATTGGGGGAAAGAGAGAACAGAAATCCCATCCAAATTTTTCTGTTGATTATGGAGAAGCAAAAGGAAGCAGTGATTATTTGACTATGACTCAAGGCTTCTCAGCTGCTCACTGAGCCTGGCTGTCTCATACCTCCTGCGTCTCAGAATGGGTGTTCCTAACACTGGGGGAGAGGAAGCCAGTTCATGTCTCAGTACCTAAGAAGACTTGTTTCCCCATCTTTATGAATCAGAGCCAGAGATGCCGGGTTGCTATGGCTTTATTTAGTATTACATTTAGGAAAGTGGAGCTTATGTGTGGTAACGGTAATCAGAATATACAGTCAAAGTGCACAGAGTGACCTTCCTAAAACTTCTTGGTGTTTCAGCAAGCATTTTCTTTGAAAGGTGAATTCAATGGGAAGTAGCAACAGTGTTGCAGCATAACTAAAGCTATGTAAATATGCATACATAATTTATAACCTATGTATTATTTATATGTATATAATGCCACATTTTATTGAGGTAAAAGAACACAGCAAGGTTAAAAAGAACTGTCTAACTCCATATAAGCTGTCCAATGTCACTGAAAGCTCTTGTAAAATCATAAAGGACTCTAGCATGCTGAGTAAACATACTAACAAATGTTTAGACTAGAAATTAAGCCAAAACAAATTTAAGACAATCTCTAGCATCTCTGAATTAGTCTCCCTTATGGAAAATGTTATTAACAGTGACAATTAAATATATGGAACAATGAAGCCTGGTGGTGGTGACACATACCTTTAATCCCAGCACTTGGGACTCAGAGGCAGGTGTATCTCTGTGAGGTTGAGGCCAGCCTTGTCTACAGAGTGAGTTCTAGGACAGGCCCCAAATCTACAGAGAAAACCTGTCTCAAAAAATATTGAACAATGAAAATAAATGTTGGGAAACTCATCCTGATTCTACATTATCTACGTACATTATTATTATTATTAATTATTTTATTGTATATAAAATTCATATTTTCAGTAACCTTCTAGTTTTAATTTTGAAGAGTAACATCATTGTTTTTGGTCCATTCATGCTCATTCAACGTTATGAATTTACAGATACTCAGTTTTTACTTTATATCTGAAATGAGAATATCTACACAAATCTCAGGAATTTGTTTGCTGTCAGCGAGGAAAATGAGAAACTGCAGCACCCAGGTTATCTGGTCTGCAAACTATTCAATAGTACTGCTCACTTCCATGGTGTCTTTGGAAAGGTAAACTATCCAGTACACAAGGTTGAACCCTGCAAATGCTACTGGGAAGAGAATTCGAGAATACTGATCTATTTTACTGGTGCCCCCAACAGCTGGTAAAAGTGGTGGTGGAGTGACAGGTGTTGTTTGTAAGATGGGCGTTCTGCTGAGAACTTTGCTGGCCTCAGAAGATGGAACTATCGGCAAAGTCAGGGAGCTAATCCTCTTCTTCAGGTGGTATTTGGAGTCAGAATGCTGAGGAAGAAAGATAACAATTGTCAACACAGTAAAATAACAGAGGTCTCTTGTTTATACAGGCACTGACACATATGTATTAACTATCTACCTATAATATAGCATCAGCAAATTTGTATGACTATGTTTTATTGTCATTTTTCTAAGTGTTACAATACTTACATTCAAAGCTTTTATTTCATGTATGTGTTTGTGACGCTGGAGTTTAAATGAATTACTGTGTTCATGTGTACTATATCTTTATCACTAAGCAAAACATCCTGCCCTAAAGCAAACACTAAAGATGGCTCCAATTTTCTTTTTCTTTTTTAAGCTGTCTGGGAATCATACCCAAGATCTCATGTGTTCTAGGCAAGTATTCTAACACTGAGCCATATACCTACACCCTCACTTAAAAAAAAAGTAGTTTGCTCCAATCTGACATACTAAAATTGAATACATCAACAATACATGTCAATATTAAGCATGTTTGAGCTATTATATAGAGAATTGTATAATTAGGAAAAGTGACAGAATTATATTTAACCCTCTAAGACAGTCAATGTACATAATCAAGTGTTCCCGCTTCCCTCAGTGTGTGTGTGTGTGTGTGTGTGTGTGTTTGTGGGTGGGTGGGTGGGTGCATACATTTTAGGTTCACTCGGTTTACAACATGTGGACAATTACTTACCACAAGGAAATCCTACTTCTGTTCACTGACAACAGCCTTCTAAAAAGTTCTAGCATAAATCTTCACATTCTCACACTTACGAGTTTGAACCAGATGAAATTTAAGAAAAGAAGAATTAGCCAGTGTCCATCACACCTATGTATGTCAAAGGCCAATGCTAAATCTTTTAAAAAGTGGGAGAATGTTTGTCCTCTGAAATATATATATCTGCCTTTAAGCCTAAAAGTTTGACACACTAAGCCTTCACTGTCCCAACGAACTCTCCTTGACTGGTTTCTCTGCCTCTGAAATCATCCCACATAATTCATCCACTACCCTAAATGCTTTGTCATGCTCTTTAGTATCACTGAGTTCCTGTCTCTACTGAAACCATAAGACTTATTTAAAAAGACAGAGATATTAAGTGCATCTGTTAACATTTGTGAAAGTGGGGGTCAAAAGAGAGGGGGTATGTTGTTTATGGTTGTACTTCTAGTAAAGCTCCAATTCAATGCTTGACTCATAGCAACAATTTTTATCTCTGCTTTAAACTACCGAGCCTAGTTCAGAGACTTTGGATCTGTCTGATGTAAAATCCTTCCATGCTGTTGTAGATGAAGCATGTTACTGTATTTCCTGCTGTTTCTTGTCTACATATTATAACAATCACTTTCCTTGGGGCTAGGTTGTTTTACTGGCTCTTTATCTTCGAATACTTGCTGAACATTCCCCCTCGATCTTGTAAAATGGCCTTGTTTCTTACCTGACAACAAAATCACTACTTTGCAGCATGGTGTGCTATGTTCCTCATGCAGGCAGACTCCTGTAGCTACAGTCAGCAACCCTGCAGCCATAGGATGAGACAGCCAGCTCTCCTGTGTTGGCTAATCTACAGGATAACAGTGGCCTGCTGGTATGGTGACATTTGGGCTGCAGGAGCATCAACTCAAAAGAATCTTTTCATTTTGTTTTGAATTTTCTTCTTATCCTGAACTTCACTGTTTGAGTCACCACAGAAGTTTCTGACTCTCTAAATAACAGTTGTAATTTTAAAGAATCTAAGCCTATTATGATTTTTAGAAACCATGAAAAAATTTGTCTCTTCATAAAAAAAAACAATAAGTTTGATTTTATCTAATCATAGTGAATTTCATGTGAAGACTCCCTTATCTATTAGCCTGGTACTGTGGTTGGCATTTTTACAGAATTAAATAAGTCACAGGTCTTGAAAGAAAAGAGGTTATAAAATAGGTAGATACCTAATTTTATGATTCTTAAAGGAGTGGCATTATCTATTAAAACTAAGTAATATTAAGAACTAAATCCCTATGATCACTAGATTTTGCTTTATAAAGGAATGACAATATTTTGGTCTTCACAAATCACACACTAGATCTATAAAATTGACACTGTTTCCTAAGTGTTTTCTACCATGTTTCTCAGTCTCTTATTTGATTAGCTAATTTTATTTTACACATTAAAATGTTGCTAAATTATCATCTACCTGAAAGCATAAAATGTGCCTGTTTCATTCTTTAAAAAGAAAGAAGAAAAAAAGAGAAAAACATCCAAAGGAGCCACCTCTCTTCCATACATGCATAACACTAAAATCCTTTAGCCTAGTAAAATTCCTAAAAGCATGATGGAGTGGAAAAGGGCAAACCATCAGAGACTTTCCTTTCAGTTTCTTCTTTACTCTGAACACTACATACTACCTGTCAGAAACTTGTCTTTCTGTTTCAGGCAGAAGGTCATATCTGTCTCATTTATTGAGATTGAAAACATGACTGCAAATTATAATACATTAAAAATGTATAAGATGTTATTCTTTTCCTACCATCATCTTTAGTGATTTGGACTAGAAAAGCTCTTTCTGGATATCTTGCCATCCCCATATTGTCAGAGACTGCCCAGTGACCTTGGTCCAGAGAAAATAGGTATGTTTCATAACTTGGTGAAATAACAATAGCCTGGAATTAAAGATCCTGTTCATCACTTCTACACCAAACAATCTCTGTGGAACATTTCTGAGCAGATGAAATGCTTACTTGTGATATGGCCTAAATGTGCCACCAACATCAGAGCCTCTGACTCATGGCTCAATTCTCATCTTTAATGTGGGATAATTTTACCTGTCCTCATGCATAGTTTGTATTTTACATGAATTTGCAGAAAATACATACCGTGATGACTGACAAATATTTGATTAGCAAATCTTAGTTGTGTCTTTTCAATTATCTGCAAGACATGTCTGCTCCCCATTCTTATCATTTTCTTGAACTAAATTTCCTCTTTGCTAGGAATTATGTTGCCCTGTCACCATACAGGTCAATATGATAGAAAGCTCACGCATCATCCAATATCACCAGTGCCACCTTCAAACACTTCTCCTGATTCTTTAGAATTTCTGTAGCTTGTATTATTTTTTCTAGAATTAACTACTTCTATTTAGGTTTATCTTCTTTCAGACCATGACCTCTTAATAAAATAGGGCACATTATGTTCAAGCAAGAGTTTCTCACTAATCAGGTGGAGGTTATGCATGCCTTTAATACCAGCACATGGGAGACAGAGACAAAGGGATCTCTGTTAGCTCAAGAAGAGCCAGGTCTGTATAATGAGTTGCAGGATAGCCAAGGCTGTGGATCCCCTGCCCAACACCCATCCCCTCGATCTTCTGGGGCTGCTCCTGGGAAATCCTGTCTCAAAACCCCAACCACAACAAAAATAATGCCTGTCCAGTACAAGGAACAGAGTATATTTTCAAAACTTATGTTTAATCAATGTATGAACGACAATGTCAATATTTTTCCAGGAGTTGAAAAGTACTATGAGAAAATTTACATGAATAATTTACTTACTCATTGAAAATGTCTTTAATGCCATGTTATGCTCATTTTAGTCATGAAAAAAATTGAAATTGAATAAGGAAGCTCACTGAGTCCCATGTGTGAGAGGCTTGAATCACTCAGATGGCAGAAATTCCACCCTTAACAGTTTGTATCCCATGCAGCCTACAAGCATTACCCTGGGTTTCTCAGACTCTAATGTATGAACATTTTAGGTTGGATAATATTTTCTGAATGAAGACTGTCCTCCAAATTATTGGTCAGTGTCAAGACCTCTTTTTACAAGGTACCAAAAACACACTCACCCAATTTGTAACAAAATGCAGACATTGTCAAATGCCTGCTGGGAGAAAAGCTTGGGAATAGCTGTTTTAGAATCCTGCTTATTTCCCTGCCTAGCAGTGACTGAACATGGGGTAAAGAGTGGCGGGTGGAGTTATGGGTGGTCTGGGGATTCTAGCAAAAGCAAATGTAATATTCTAAAGGAACTGTAGGAGTTCTGTATTTAATGCTGTCCACCGGAAAAGCATCTACTGGATAGTTAAGAATTTGCAGCCAGAAGATACTCGGTGCCAATTTAGAAGAAATTCCTTACATTTCTGAAATGAAAAGAAAGAAAATTCTGCAAAGCCTTTAAGCTACAGGTTTGCATGAGACCCCACCTGCTCTATTGTAGGCGAGCTTAGGTTGATGGTAAAATAGGTTTTTGTCAGAGTCCAGATGAGGGCTCAGCTTGGGGCTGTCAAGGTTTTGAGTGGAACACCTGTGGTTTTGAAATTTTCCTGGGCTCCCCTGCTGATGAGTGCCATCCTGTTCTGGGTATTTTTAGACCACCTCTTTGTTTTAAGTAACATTATATTGCACTGGTACCTTGAATTAAAGTAGACAATATGATAATCAGTTATTTGATGCAGAAATAAGACATTAATAGGAAATATTTTATTTTAGTCTAGTATTTTATATAAAGTGGCCAAGATATATCTGTAAGAATATTTTTATTTATGTTTATTTTATTTAGGGTTAGGGCTTTGTGCACTGGATGTATGTCTGATGACTGAGGAGGCCAGAAGAAAACCCTGAATCACCTGGAACTGGAATTACAGATGGTTGTGAACCACCATGTTAGCGCTGTTAGTGCTGGGAAATGAATCTGGGTTCTCAGCAAGAGTAGCTAGTATTCTAAATCAATGAGCTATCTCTCATGGCCCCAAATGTATCTATTAGCAGAGATATTGTAATTAAATATCACTACTCAATGCACAAAACAATTATTTATAGAACCGATCAATGTGTGCCCCAAAATAAGACAAAATTAAAAAAACAAAAACAACTACAACAAAAAATCCCAAACAAATAGTATTTGTAAACAATATCATCATGTTAATATTATGGCAAAATTAGAAGCTACACTAATATTTTTTAAAATGGTTGTGATAGAGCAAGTGTTATTTAAATTATAGAGGATTTCAGAATGTCCTCTGAGAAATGGCTTGTTGGAATCATCTGGCATATCAGTGGTACTAAGGAACCTAGACTGGTTTTTAAACAGTATAGACTGATATACTATATGGATAAAAGTCTAACAAATGATATTTCACCTAATTCATTGTTGTCTCCACATGAACAATCATGGGGAAGAGACACCTGCGCTTTCTGTTTCTCCAAGTCTCTCATAGGCCTTATTCAACCCTTATTATTAGAGAATAATGATGTGGTTCGATGAAATTTCAGCAAATTTTGAACAGGAAAAGTAACGTTTGCCATTCTGTTCCTCACATCTCTGTACATAGTCAACTATAGCATGTCAGGGACTGGCATATACTTTCACCTTGAAGAAGAAGGCAGAAAGAATGGTTTTATATCCCTCTCTATGCACAAGTTCCTAGAAATTAGCTTAGGGCTTCTGTTCAAGCCAAGCTCATCTTTCTCTTTTCACCTTTAAAATAACTGTTCTAGAAATATAGACTCCTCCAAAATGAACTAGACACTTTAACATAAATATTTTCATGCTACCATGTATCTGTAGCTACAGCCTTTATTACAATTGCTCATGGACTCATCTCTTCCTTTGGATCTCTTCTTCCTGCACAATATGTTTCATTCAAGGAAAGATCCTATCGTGACACTCCATGTTCTGTGTAGGAAACTTCACATATACTCAAGGTATGAAAAATATACCATAGTCCCTTAACAAGTGGGTGGCAAAGAATGCATAAAGAGGCAATTAATATATAGGTACTCTCTGTCCTTGGTAATAAAATTTTGGTCAATTTTTATGCAGATTTTACATGCAGATTCACAAAACCTGTAATGAACACATGATATATTAGGAACAATACTAGTAAAGGGAACCATGGTGTGTGTAGAAAGTATTAACACCCAAGAACCTAGCAAAGAGGGCTTAGACCTTTAAAGTAACAAGGAAACTAGAAAATTACTGTACTTCAACTTCACCATAGTATTCTGTACTTTCAATGGCAAGCTCCCTAAATAATGTGTTGGTTATAACTGAATAGGCGTTTCTAAATGTCATGGTATTTGAGAAAAAATAAACTGACCTTGCAATCATAATATTCCATTGTATAAAATAAATAGCCAATGTGCAATTTATGTTTTTTCTTCTCAAGTCTATAGAGCATCTTGCTAAGTTTTGCCATGAACAAATGAAATGTAAATGTCCTACATAATCATGTCTTTATTTTTGATACCTTTAGGGTTTATGTTTTTGGTTTGGTTAATTTTATATTTAATTTTTACACTTTAGCCTTTCAGAAACAAAAAAGATATACTATTCATTGCTTTCAAATATTTTAAGTAAAACAAGGGTCAGGAAAATGGAATTTTTCATAAGGACAAACGGAACTTGCAATAAAAATTTTTCTGGGGGTATTTAAATACATTTTAAAATATCTGTCAATAGGACCTGCCCATCATGTTACTATATTAGCATCATAGGAGATAGTTTATTTATGAATATCTGGGATCTGAATTCTACCTTTTAGTAACTTATACCTTTAAAATAATGGTCTGAGGTATTGATAACTAAGTTTTCTCCAAAGATTTGAAATCATGTACCCCAACACTTGGTACTATATATTGCAAAAATAAAATAAAGGATTTGGCCGTTTTTGTTTATTTTATCCTAACATTAAATCAATTAGTATATTCATAATCATTTAATTACTTAATTATCCTGCTTCTGATGAGTTTATCTTTCTTTGCTGCTCTATTTCTCAAACTTAGACTCTATTATCTTCTCTTGAAAAACAAGACAAAACAAAAAATCCTTAGCAGGGTGGGAGCTCAGAGTTGTGACTCACTCAGGGAAAGGACCAAGCTTTGTTACACCTTATCTACAAAGAGTAGGTTTAAGTTCTACACTGTGCATTATTACTTCAGCTACTTTCTTTATAGTGACCCTTTCTAAAATGTTTTCCACGCATGTCAGACTAAGCCTAGAACATATTTTTGTTATACAAACTTTCATAATATAGGGTAATATATATTCTCTCTGTGTATATACAGAAACTATAACTAGGTCAAGAGAAGGCTTTGGGGAATGATGCCATCTACATCCTAAAACACACTTTATACAGTAGTACATGTTCAGGTACACTTGTTTCCTTTAGATATTGGTAGGAAAGGAATGGTATTACCTTATGAAATTATAGACAATAGAAATTCTAGAATCAATTCTTGTTTTTCCAGCAGGTCATATTTGTGGCTAACACCATGCTATTTACAAATTGCTGCTCATCTATGACCTCTAAGACAGAATTTTCCTGCTTGTAATAGCAGAAAATTGAGAATGGATCAATAGATAGCATTTCCTTTTTGCCTTTTCTATATTCTTTTCTTTCTTTCATTCTTTATCCCAATGTAGATTAATACTAGGCAATAAAATCATTTGCATATTTCCACTAAATGTGGCAATGACCTCACTACTCCAAGAGAAATGTCAATTCTTTAAAACAAACAAAACCCCCAATCTATGAAAGAGAAAAGGGTTAATACAAACTGTGAGCTGTTTTCTCCAATAAATGCCACAGTTTGAGGAAGTAAAACATGTACTGCATTCTAGTTTCCAACATGTAGTCAATCTGAGAGTTCCTGACTCACCTGTGGTTTTGGATTAGGAAATATTCAGTAGGCTTAAACAATTAATAATGACTTGCAGGTTCAGATTATTTTTATTACTCAAGTTTACAAAATAAATGATCCTTCTTAGGCAAGGGCTGTATGTTGAGATTTATATTAGGATAAAATGAATGTTTGTCAATCAATTTTATAATATATTTTTTAAAAAGTGTAAGAAATTATTCTTGAATTTGAATGAAATTTGGGAGTATGCTTATGACCCTTTAAATATGAATCATATCATTCATGTCTGACTCCAAAACACTTTGCAGACTAAGGCTTATGTATATCACATTCTAAAAAGTTTATGAGTATTTCTCAGTAATAATAAGCCTTTGAATATGAGCTCAGTAATATGCATGTACTTAATGCACTCATGAAAATGTGATCATCTTTTTAATTGAATTGTTATATATGGGTCATATCTTCATTCAGAGAACGCATATTCATTGTTTATCTCCCCCACATACAAAATAAAAGCAGCCTATGGGGTTTTCTCACAAAACCTCACATGCTACAGGTGTTTCTTTTCCTTGAGATACCGGAAGCCTCATTAGGACCTTTTTTGTTTAACTTTATTTTCCCTAGTTGCTGTATGGGAACCTGTTCAAAGGAAACTTCTAAAGGCTAAGCAGAACTTTCTAGTCTCCTTTGAGAGCCTAGAGTCTGCCAGTACAAGTAAGGATGATGAATGAACAGGAAAACTTTAGAAAAAAAGATAAATGAAGGCTTTTCTTCAGCTTCACCCTGGGAAGTGGGAAGCAACTCTAGTTATGTAATTTATGCTAAAAAAAAAAAACCTGTTTCGACTGCTTATTTATATGTTGCTACTGATTGAGCTTGCTTCCTCTATCTGCTGGGTAAAGTAGAAGAGGGAAAAATTACCACAATAATCTCAGCTTCCCGTGGTTCAGTGGCTTTTGATATTACTACAGGAGGAGGGGCTGCAGTCTGTGCCTTCCTCTCAGCCCTCTGTGACTGGAGATTGGTGAAGTAGTTGACAGCTGCGAACTCGATAAGAGCAGAAAAGACAAAAGCAAAGCACACAGCTATGAACCAATCCATGGCTGTTGCATAGGACACTTTGGGCAGGGAGTGCCGGGCACTGATGCTTAAGGTGGTCATCGTTAAAACAGTGGTGATTCCTGAAATGAAAGAGAAACACAGTAGTCAGCATCAGTAACAAGATCCAGCAAAGGCAAGTTTGTAAGGACAGTCACTCATTCCGCCACCCTCTGATGATTTTAGTGTAATGCGTCATCACAGGTGTTGCCATCTGTATGTCATCTCAACCGATTGCACTGACCTATGAAATACAATTTCTATAAAACCATTTATTGAATCAATTAACTACAGTAACATGTAAATCATGGGCAACTCTATTTGTTTTTCTTCCTGAGAATATGCATAAAATTACTATGATGTAAATGTTTTGAATTTTGCCTTTTTGTTTGTTCATTACATCTTTCACTACAAATAAGTAGAAAATGTGTATGAAGTTAGCTTACTTAATTTAAAAGAAAAACTTTTTTTAAAAGATAAAGAGTTTACCCATGAGAAAAAGAGTTCTGTCACCCTCCTGCCAGAAGTTTTTCTGCCTGAAATGTGACTGAGAATTTACGTAATTTGTAGACATGAATGCTGATAGTAACCATATGAAAATTTTTATTTATGGTAATTTTGAAAAGTAAATTTATTCTAATGGAATAAATCATATATATACATAATTAGTCTGAAATTCTAGTTCAGCTTAGATCTTTCATATAGACTATTAAATTTATAGCAATGAAAAATACAGGAAAATTGGATTTTGCTTCTCATAATATTTGTTCATACTTCACCAAGTAGTGATTTTATGCTTCACAATTGGAGACAAACATTTGACTAAATTATTGATCTTCAAGATGGCAACTCTATTTAACTCATTGAAAGTGAGATATAATTCAGATAAATGAAGTAGATTTACTATATTACCCAGTTGTTTTACTGGATGTACACGTCACATTTTTTCCTTTTTGTGTATGTGAGACAGGATTTCAACAGCTCTGACTGTCCTGGAACTCACTCTGTAGATCAAACTGGACCCAAACTCACAGAGATCCTCTGCCTTCTGAGTATTGGGATTAAAGGCATGCCCCACTACCTCCAGGTCAGGTTTTTTCCTTAAAGGTGAGCACTGACAACTAAGATAAAATAGGTCATAGGAAAGACCCAGAAATATTGAAGGGACAAGTTTTTGTCTAGTTATCACACAACCTGCAAAAAGATGAGTCATTTTACATGATATGTGGCTTTGTTTCTTCTGTATATTGAGAGAACACACAGATGTCAGTATTCACCACAAAAACACAAGCATTACAAAGTGGAAACTGAATGGAAATAGAACACAAAGTGTGAGGCATACCAAAGACAGTTCTTGCTGGGACTGACTCCTTATTAATCCAGAAAGACACCTGAGAAAGAATGACTGTCATAATGCATGGAGTGTATATCTGGATCATGAAGTAGCCCATCTTCCTTTGTAAGTGGAAATAGACTGTCATTATTACATATTCACCTGTTGGAAGACATTCTCATTAGCAGGGTTGCTGTTGACAGAAAAATGAATATAAAACTTGCAAAACTTTTAAACTACTAGGGTCTGGAAGGAACAAGCAAAGACATGGCTTAAAAATATATAAAAATATCACTTGATCAGATGCAAAGAATCATACCAGTTTATTGGTTTTAATGGCATCTTATATATTTATAACACAATTCATTCCAAGATTACACAAATATTCCTATTTACCCAGTCAAAAATAAATTTTGAAGACATCACTTCAAAATAGTAAATTTAGTCTGTAATATCTAATGTTAATGTAATAAAATACTAGGTATTTTGAAAATATATACTAGAGTGTTAAAGGATTTTTTAAAATAGTCTTACCTGTGTTAGATTTAATTGTCTCACTAGAGACTGTTTGCCCAATCAAATCATACTGGAGGAGGCTGGAAGATTCCTCTGGGACTTCTACTGAGTAAAGCGGTCCTTTTTTCCAAGTATATATGATTTCACTTTTTGGGTAAGCATCTGTATTTTTTAAACAAATGACACTAAACACTAAAAATAACTAGTTAGCTTGCCTTCATTCAAAACAAGCATTACCTGCCTTATCTATTAAGGAAGAAACATGCACGTGACTGGTTTAGTGTTCACCATAGCATACGAAGGAACTTTGGGAGCCCACTCCAGATGGAGGGATGCTCTCTCAGCCAGGACACATGGGGAAGGGCCTAGGTTCTGACCTGGATGAAATGACAGACTCTGGATATCCCCCCAAGGAGGGCCTCATCCTCCCTGGATGTGGGGATTGGCCTGGGGTGGGGGGTGGGGGTGGGGCTGGTGGAGGGAGAATTGGGGAGCTGGCATGTTTTTAATTTAAATTACAAAAAAAGACAGAGGCTTGGGGTTGCATGATTTGGGCAGGTTCCCTATGCCACTACAGGCCGGCAAGGAAGACTTTATTTTTTTACTTTAAAAAACAAACAAACAAAAATATCTAATTAACTGAAACTTCTAATATTGACAGAGAGGATATTGCTGAACTTATACTGTGTTTCCTAATAATATTTTCTTTCATCGTCTCAGTCTTCAGCTAAAACCAAGTAAGTGTATATTTCTAATGCCCTATTTGATTTCCAGGAACTTTGTGTAACTTACAGCTCCCAAACTTGAGTGGACAAGCATGTCCATCCATGGGGAAGTTAACCAGCCTCATGGGACAATCGGCATTGATGGTAAGCCTGCAGACATTGAAACATATACTTCTGGTTACTATGGTGAATGGATCCTCAGGAAGCAGAAATAAATGGGCAACTCACCTCATGGTGTACAGGATTGTTCCGTTCTGCATTAATCGGAAGAGCTTGTTAGGCGTGGTCATGTTGTGAGCAATTGACTTCTTCCCATTTCTGAAAAAAGTGTCAGGGGTCCATATCTTACTGACCATCAAGTTATTTAAGCTCAGAATCTCAGCAGGACCCCTAAACTTCAGCCTCTCATCAGTCCAAGTCTGGCGGAAAAAAACATCCATTGTATACTCCTAAGAGGAAAAAAACAAATATTCACACAAAGTGGAAAATGTCTTGTGAAACAGTTTATTCCTTATTTACGCCAAATTCTAAATTTAATCACGAAAGCAAAGTTCACAGCAATAACTTCTTAATGAAGATGAATAATTTAGTAATTAATAATGATTTTTAGAATAAATGATATTGACTATAATCAGTAAATGATTTTTAATCACAAACCGATTTCATTGACTTCTTCCCTCAATCTCACAAGGTTTGTAATATTATAAAACAAAGATGTACTGGGCCAAACTCGTTTTCCATCCTTAATCTGCTCAACATTTTCCTCCATGTCTATCCAGCCAGCCAACTTTTCAGTCATGGTTTTTCTCTGTAATCTCTTTAACTTGAAATGGAAACACACAGAAGTATTTGTAGTTCAAGCATCATGTTTGATTTGATGTCCTACCTTCAGCTAGTCCAGCCATTCTTCTTAGTACCTCACTCACCTTTGCAGTAGGCTTAGAGAGCAATACTTCCATACAGTACAAATCCAACAATGGACATCTTCATTGGCTAGCAAATTAACACTGTATACCATGAAATTCTGATGTTATTGTCAGAGAACATACAAGCAGATATTACCACGATTATTTTAAGCAGAAAATAAAATATTTAATATACACACAACAATTTCAATTTTTAAACCATGGCATTATGGTATAATACTAATTTTAAGAGATAATTATGATGATATCACAGAAGTCAATGACAAATACCTTGTTACTGTTCTGAACCATTGCAAACAGTTTTTGCCTGCTTTATGGTATTTATTGCTGTAAACAGTCATTCAATTTTAGAAGTAAATTTCAATACAGAGTATTTCTATTACAATCATAAACCATGGAACATAAGGATTCTATTACACAAAACTACTCTAAGAGGACACACATGGACGAAATGAAAATCAACTGAGACTAGAACACTGCAGCACCAAGTGCTTATACTTGGTTCCTTGAAATAAAGAACTTGAAGGAAAAAAATATGATACTAAAGCAACAAGTATCCTGTACTGACTCTCATTTTTCAAGTCTTATGATTTTTATGTCTCCATAATCCTCTTTCCCACTCTCTACCCCTCATCTGTATCTTCCTTCTGTTTTCCTTCCCTGTCCGTCCCTTTTTCTCCATTCTTCCTTTTGTCTTGTCCTTCTGGCTCCCCTTTCGTTTACTGTTTATCCATCTTTTCTTTACTGTTTCCTTCTCATCACATCAATTCTAAAGTAGGAGAAGAAGTCACCAGCTACTATTTATACAGAATTACAATTTCCCAAGAGAAGCTAATGGTGTCCTTCTTTGAAAACATTTATGACAGTTTCTGCCTTGGTGCTTGTATTTTAGCCTTGTGAGAAAAAATACTACCTGAAAACCGGGAAGAAATATGATACACTGTGTTCAGAGAGATAACTTCAGGCTCTCATTGCCACTTTCCATAAATACCCTCTTACGAATCCTACAGCCATCTGTACCTGGAACAGACTCTCCAGAACACCCACTGATGCACCCACAACGTACAAGGTGGAAAGCATGAACCTATCCAACTGACTTCTTCACTGTTTGGATGAAAAGTACTAGTGATGGCTCATTGCAAATAACAGTCATCCCTTGGCATTATACCTGTCAGTGAACTCTTACATGGCAAGAAGCTTTTAAAAAGAATTTCTTAATTTTACTAGGACATCACAAAAAGGAGTAATTCTTCCCTTTGTGGAACTATTCATTGTATAATATGTGGATGGAGGAGAGACTATATTAAAATCTAGCTCAATTTTGAGTGGCCAAGCAGAGCCAGTCATTTGCTCTAGTTTACGTGTCTTCCCAATAGAAACATACATACTGTGTGCTAAGATGAATGGCAATACCTGTGTTCATAAGCCCTAAGCCACAGATATCCTTCTTAAATAAAAGAACCCAAGGTACTCACCATCTCCACATCTGACACAGGCCCAAAGCTGGTCACATAGATGTCTGTTTTGACTTCTGTGACAGCACCTGACATAAACCAAGAAGGTTGAGGCTATTACCATATGTGCTGTGACCAGAACTTAGTGACTCCGCATGACACTTCCTATGCCTGAAAGTTAGTGCTCTGCCTGTTTCCACCCCTCGCTAGTGAGTTCCCTTTAGTTTTTAAACCATGAGAACCTACAACAATTACTTTAAAGTTTGGGAAACTATTAATGAATGGAAGATAACAAAATCAGTGTGTCCTAATAATAATTAATACTACTACTAATGATGACAATAACATGTGTATTGATAGATTGCAAAAAACAAATAACAAGGAAAGTGTCACACCTGGGAAAGTTCTTTCTACACTCAAGCAACCCTGTGAGTCAATGATGTGATGCACACACACACACACACACACAAACACACACACACAAACACACACACACACACATACACGTGCACGTTTAGGACATAAGGCTTATAGAGTTCAAATAACTTACAAAAGATCACTGACTGAGGAAGGAATGAGAAAGTGATAGCAATACAGACATGAAGTACTGGCACCCCTACCTACACCATTACCTTTTTTTTTTTTTAACTCCTCTGGGTCTTTGAAGGGTTATAAAAGAGGAGTTAAATTTTAAGTATTTGGTCTAACCTCAATGCAGTGTCTTACCTCCAAATCCTGGCCGTAGACGATTGTCATAGCCTTCCAGCAAGTTGTCAAGAATCCGACTGACATTTTCAGAGTAGAAATTGCCTTCATCTTCAAGTTGAGCCTGCGCATTTTCTAGCCTGAAGGTTGAGAGTCAAAAATTCTCACACCTGGCCTCAAAGAAAATACATTGTTTCATGGGTGCTAGTTTACCCCATCATAGATACCAGCCACTATTTTCTTTCACTGTTCAATAAAATTTCACCCAGTAGATGTATGCTCTCCTTTTCCACTAAGATAAAATGGGGAAATCAGAAAAATCATCTTACCAAAGAATAATGGACAGCCAGGGGAGAAGCACCACCATCCTATGGATCACTGAGATGCCAGGTCCCCCTCCTCCTGCTTCTTCCTCCCCTCAGCCAGCTCTCCTGTGACAATCAACTGGAGAAATCTTCCAAACCCCTCATATCCCTCATCCCAGTGAGCAATCCAATAGATGAAGGTGTTGCCAGGAAATTGTTACGGGTTTCCTTTATCCTTTTTATCTTATTTTTGTTTTTTTCAGATGGAATATGGTTGTTTGTGGTCTTAAATTGAGTCTTGCAGATATCCAGCCTCCTCTGACTGGTTCAGTTGAGAAATGGAGAGCCAGAACAATGACAATAATTGACTAAGGCATTAGGGGAGATTAAAAGGAAGAAATTCATGGCTAGTTTTGGCATGGAATTATCAGAGCCTGTGAGGAAATCTGGAAAGCAGTGGCATCTTGCTGATTGAGATTATGTTCCAATGGGCACAGCGTTTATTATTTCTATGGTTCACAGAAGGATTCCTACACGGTTCTGATAGAAAAGTCAAATATTAGGACAGTTCCTGGATTTTTTTATTTTCATTGGCTCTGCTGACTGTAGACATCCCTTTACTGAAAAAAATTGTCCCACAGGTAATCAATTAAAAATGAAAGGACTCTTTTTGCTACTTTTAATAATAAGAAACAAAAACAATAAAAAACAATGAAAAATTATCTAAGATTTACAAGTTATAATATACTAAACAATAATAACTGTTTCACAGATGGATCTGATCTTTAGAGGATCATACAAGACCAAGCCATATTTAAGTTAAGGAATTGTATGAATTCAAATAACTGTATATGTAATTGTCTTCATGTAACAAAGGTCATGTTTCATAAATTCAGAAGATTATATATGTTAATGTCCACATGTGTTGAAGGTTACCCTTCATATATTCAGAAGATTATATATGTGAGTGTCTACATGTGGTGAAGTCTACCCACACACATTCAGATGACTATATGTGTGACTGTCTACATGAAGTGAAATCCCTCCTCCATGCACTCCTCTCAGAATTGGGCCTACATGATCTATGAGCAGCATATAATTACACTGTAAATATTGCTATGGATCCAGCAGGAGAAAAGAAGTCAAGGACATTAAAATGGCGATGACTTCAGGAAATATTTAAGCATTTATTTAGCGTTTTGACTACAAATCAAGCATCAGAACTTTCCTACAGAGAGAATTTTCTTCCTTTGGACAAAGTGAGAATATGTTTCTTACAACTATCTATGTCGATCTTTTCCTTTGTCAACTACTTGTTTTTTGTTAGTGACAAATCTAAACTGCAATCCTTAACAATATTGATATCAATTATTTCAAGAAAAAATTAGAAAAATGTATACTCTTCCACACTGGAACTGTTTGTGCATAAGAAATATACTGCCAGCCACACCTTTAGTCCCAACACTTGGTAGGCAGAGAAAGGCAGATCTCTGTGAGTTTGAGGCCAATCTGGTCTACAGAACTACTTCCAGGATAGCTAGGACTGTTACACAAAGAAATCCTGTCTCAAAAAACCAAAATCAAATTACCACAAAGTAAAACAAAAAAGTACTGTCGAAGACTATATGAAATTAGTGGAAATATTACAAAGAAAGGAAAACCAATTCTGAACAAAAACCAGCATTTCTCAGCTAAAACAATTTATATATAGAGATACATATGAACATATGTACATTAATGCATACGTACAAAATATGAAATATTCAGTATCTGAAAAAATTGCTAAATAAATTTCAGCAGCACATGCTTCTGTCTACACCTCTCCAAGGATCATTCTATACCAAAAGAAAGAAAACACTGGGAGTGTAGCTCAGTTGGTAGAATACTTGCCTAGCATGCACAAAACACTGAATTACATTTTCAACAATGTATGAAACCTGGTATAGAGATAAATACATGTAACCCTGGCATTAGGGAATTAGAGGAAGGAGGGTCAAAAGTTCAAGGGCATCCCTGACCTCACTTTGAGTTTAAGGTTGCCTATGATACATATGACACGTCTCTGAAACAAATGATGAAATGCAACACATTTTGAGAGGAATTAAAGAAACCCATAGAAGACCCTGTTTATAAATGTATAAAGTTATTGCAATGTTACATACCTAATAAATTAACATTACACAATCTGAAATGATCTATGAGTATTGTATTCTTTATAACATAAATAAAATCAAGTCCAAGAAGAATGAAAGACACACATTGTCTCAATAATAAATTAAGTGCAAATGAAATAAATTTTGTAAGTTCATCTCTTGGCATTAAGTAGATTATTAAATGTTGATGTCTTATGCATTTCTTTTCTATATATATTTGCTAGTTGATAATGGCAATTTATATGACTAGTTTACAGATTTCAGAATATTTAGAATCTTTTGTTATAGTACTATATTGCTATTGATGTCTTTGCAGGATGATAGATGACAAATATGCTCCTTAATATTTTAAAATGCTCCAAAGAGTACAATCATTGTCTATGATTGAGGATCACAGTGAAAACGGCATGTTCGCCCTAGCCTAATCTTTATATTTCCAAGCAAAATATGACTCAGTCTCCACAGGCTATTTGAGTAAAGCCAAATTTCTTCATCTACAGATCTGTAAATAGGCTACAGCAGACTGTCAAAACCACTGTCTTCGATCTACTTCCATCCTGAGTCTAGTGTAGTCTTGCTTTACCTAATGGGGATATGTTCTGACAATTGCATCTTCACATGACTTTGACACCATGAGAATACTATAGGCTGAATTTATACAAGCTTAAATATTCATAGCCACCTGTCTATGTGTATAATATAACATATTATATATGATATATACAGCTCATCATTAACATATTGTAATGCAGTATTTGATTGCATACAATATAGCAACAAAAAAGAGATATGTGTCTTTGGGGAATGTGGTGGCTTAGTGAGGTGTTTTCTCTTACATATTCCCTGGGAATGAAGAGCCATATACTCCATGAGAAAGGAGAGATGCTATAAACTATTCTTATTAACTACCCCCACCCAAAAATAGAAAAGTCCAGAAGAGTCAGCTGACAGACCCCCTTTTTGTTGACAAACTTGTTGTGGATCCCATATAGAGGCACAAGAAAATAATGAGTAGAAGCTTGCTGTCAACTCCATGAAGATTGACACTTGGGTGAGCATAGAACTTGACATATTTTCCATTCCATGTATAAGAAGTCTTCCTCAGTAATAAACTTCAGAGGGGTTTAAACATAGTGTAATGTAGTAGTGTGTTTAGGGATATATACTATCATTTTCACTTGCAACACTTTCATACTAATGCAAAAGGATTTCAACACTCCCATTGGTTCTGGGAGCTGTGTATAATTGTGTTCTTGGATAAATAAGTATTGTGTATACATTGTAACCAGTTTCACTAAGCTAATAAGTGGCAGAACCAGAATTAAAAACCAAACAAAGCATTATCCCTCAAAAGCAGCCAAATAGATTCAAGACTGGTGAGCAAGAGAGAGCAAAATTGTCAGTTCTACCAAATCAGTCATTTCTGCTATTAGTCATACGAAGATGGAGTCGGTGCTTATGTGAGAAAATGAATGTTCTGTTCAATGAGTTGCATGTTATGGAGGCAATTAATATGATCACTGTGATTATTCTGCAAGACATTGAGGATATCTGCAGATGTTTTAAGGATTAATTGTTCAACAAGAAACCTAAGTGGATATTTCAAGTTAAAAGCTCTGTGCATTTATTTGGGATCATGTCAAAAAGAGAAATAGAGACGTCTCTGTTGGCAAAATGCACTGAGGAGGGAATTAAAGATGTACTACATCACTGAACTAAAGGAAGGAGCTAAAGTGCTGAACCATACAATGGTGAGCATTTATTGAACATTTACTGCACGAGAATCACAGGTACAGATACTGTCTATAATCTGGTCAACTATCCTGCATGTTAGCTATCTCCAGATTTGGTTTTAAAAAGGGTGAAAAGGGGACCCACTAAAGGTGTGTTACTACTCTAAGGTCTTGGAGTTAGTTATTATCTCCAGCTCCAAGGTGAACACTCTTATATACTGTGCTTCATGTATGTCAGACCTAACAATTATATATATTGTTTTATATATATATAAATATATATAATTGTTATTTATTTTATTGTTATATAATTGTTATATAAATATATATATATATATGTTATTTAACTTTTTACACAAATTAATCTCAGTTCCCTCTCTCTCCCCTCCTCCCCCAGTCCTCCATTCCTCCCAACCTCCCTTCCACTCCATCTCCCTTCCACTCTCCATGGAGGGTAAGGCCTTCCATGAGGGATTTTCAGAGTCTTTCATGTAATCCTTGGCAGGGCCTAGGTCCTCCCCAATGCGTTCAGGCTGACAGAGCATCCCTCCATGTGGAGTTGGCTCCCAGAGTCCATTTGCTGACAGAGCATCCCTCCATGTGGAGTTGGCTCCCAGAGTCCATTTGTATGCCAGGAATAAACACTGATCTACTCTCCAAGGTCCCATAAATTACCAAGGCCTCTTCTCTGACACACAGGTTTGAGGTGGGGGTATCTGGATTAGTCCCATGCTGGTCTCTCAGTCATCAGTCTGTGGTCCATGGTTCCCTCTTGTTTAAGATCTAACACATTTCTAAAGCCATACCTTTTATACTTCCTGGAGCAGCAGAATCCTCTATCATTATTAAGGGATACCTACCATCTCAGTGGATGCTCTAGAAAATCCCAGTGTGATATCTATTGGGGCTATAGAGTAATAAGAATAAAATTGCTCTGGGAAGCAAAAAACAATAAAGGGACATTCCTGTGGATTATTGCTTTAATTGTTCTTGGCTTGGTTAGGAATGGATTGTTGAATCCTTTGTAGGTTACTCTGTTGTCTCCAAGACAGGAAATAGGCATTTAAAACCTCAAATGTAAATACTGAGGAACCAGAAGTCATTTTGTAGAAGTTTATGAATTTTTTTAAAACTTGTGTTTTCTCTATTATTATCAGTTCTATTCAAGTTTTACTTATTACATACATGATAAATGCTGAGAATAGGCACTTTTATGACACAGTACTCTGCCAATGATGTATAAATTTTGCTGCTTCTTTAGCTAATATTAATATAATAATAAAAAGGATAAACTATTGAAAAATGAAGACTAATTAATAAATCATGTTCAACAAAGACACAGAGTAAGGAGGCAGTTTTGGCAGAGAGTGGGAACTGGTAGCTATTTCAATGAAAACATAAAATGTAATCTATTGGACTGGAGCTCAGAGTTGGAGTCAAATATACTTTAGGAAAATCTTTCCAGTGATTCTTAGAGGTGAGACAGTACTTGTACTTAAAAATAATATTAAAAACTGAGATACAGCAATATAGG